CAACTCGAATTAACTTTAAATACCGTCCCAGTCTGGAGATCTGCTAAATATTTGCTTAAAGTCGTATCGATTAACTCGGATGTCGACATCAAAGCAGCCGGATATTCTTGATCGGGATTTAATCCGAGGATAATACCGGTTGGAGCTTACCACTTTGTAAGAGATATTTGTAAATTTTTAATTCTCGATTACTTTTCCGAAGGGACGTATCAGCTTTTGTAAACAATGCATTTGATCGTTAATTTGGCGTAACCGTAGCTCGCTCAAGCATGCTGACACTACCATCAGATCGGTGAAATTTTCCTCTACCTGATAATGGTGTTAGCACAGACAAACAGACATAACACTCGTAAGTTGTTCATCGAACAAGCATTTAACGGTCATTTTAAAAGTATCGTAGTTGGTAGTACCGCCACCTATGGCGCGCATAGTCAATATCCTTGCGTTTGACGTTTACACACTACCGCCATCTGTTCAGTTTACTACCCACCACAGTGTACTCAACAGATGGCGGTAATGTTATAGCGACGATGTTTTACAATGAGAAATATGCAATGTGTTATGTCTGTTTGTCTGTGGTGTTAGTATGCGTGGGCGAGCTACCGTTAACGCCAAATCGACGATCAAATGCATTGTTTTCAAAAACTTACGTTCATTCAAATAAGTCATCGAGAATTATCTAGTCCCCGGCAAGATGACAGATAATCTTAGTTTCACGTATACCCACTTGCAAATAGTAGATGTCGCCACACAACGTAAACAAAGGGATTGTCCTTCACCACTACAATAGTATTTCTCTATGGGAAACCATCCATGTGTGGATGACAAACAACAGGCAAGAATGCTATATGAATAGCACGAATTTATGGTTTTCGTGGTGAAATGAAATAAATCTAAACGAATTGAAACCGATTGATGGAGGTTGATTTTCTTGACGATAGAAAAACTCTGCTGTCTTCTATTCTATTTTGCTCTTGAATTTAATCAGGCTGCAGATAATTGGTTTTGACCATAGAGGTGCGATGAAGGCTTGCCATGAGCCGTATGAATAAAAAGAGTTTACTTTCCCGTGTTTCTATCTTCTTGTGTGTTCTTGTGTGTTCTTCTGATATGCAAGATTTCCGAAACTGAACTGGAAATACTCATTAATCACCACAAAAATTCCAACGTTGGGAAATTTTCCGAACGGCTTGAAAATAGCATCCTATAAGCATCTGCAGCATTCATCAACATGTTTTTTTTATAACAGGACATATTTTGGAGCAGGATGCAGTAAACAATCATCGCAATATATTGATAAAATTGTGTATCGATTTTTATTTCAAACTCCGCCTTGAGGAATATGTCGAAAACATAGGAGGCATTAAGAATTCCATCCACAAAAAAAAAATACAAAATTGATTTTATTTTGCGTCGCGACGAACATTTTGTAAATCCATTTAAAATTGACAAAATAAATAAAATTATATTATCTAAATCTAAATAAAGTGTCTCGCAAAAATATACATAAAATAAAATTAAGTGCTTCTGTTTTGTTACACACGTTAAAGCAAAGCTTCAAGAAACAGATGAGTCATAAGTTTGTATGTTATATTATTTAGTTACACAGTTATGGGAATAGTCACTATGACAACTCACTCTGGAAAATTTAGTAATCATATAAGTGAAGTGGTTGTTAATCAGAATTTTCTAAAATATCAGCTAAAATTGAGTTTTGACGAATGGTCGTAGATCCGTTGTCGCAAAAAAAATGAAAATTTAGTCAAACTGGACAATATATCACATATTTAGCTTAAATGCATTTAAGGCCTTCGACAGACGTACAAAGTACGCCGTTGTACTAATTTAAGCTTGTACCTCAAATTATACATTTTGCATTACTAGCTGCGTATAATTAGTACGCTCTTACTCCTTGCAAAACCAATCATCTTTGTTCATCATCGACTATAATAACAATAGCCTTGATCAATTCTCATTTGTTCCAATAAATTCGATGACAATCATATAATTTTGTTTTACAAATCATATGTTTCAGCTTTTGGTTCTGACTAATCAAAACGACATTTCTTGCAGGCATTTCTGGAGTTCCTATGTCGTTAATGTTAATTTTTACGTTGGACGTCGCGTGTTCGTTTTGGTTGGCACGCGACAATAAGATGAATTTTAAACAATTATTTTATTTACTGTACATCATTTCCAAATTCGCCCTATTCAGATAAAACTTCTGGAATTTGTGAGTTTGACAGAACCACGAGCACCAAATTGTCGGGGTACACTGGCAATATACTGGAGCTGTCATGTTGCCCCCGAGTTGAGAATTATAGATCCGCTGTATGGAATTATGTTGACTCCAAATGCTTGAACATTTGTAATAATTTGATTTTTTCATCTAATGCCACGTTTACACTGCAGCCTATATTACATGATATACAGTATCTTGATATCAAACGTCATACATATTATTTACAGTATGAAGATGGGCTATATATACACGTAATATAGGCTGTAATGTGAATAGGTATAAGGTCGAACTTTTGCCCACCTTTCTCTATTAAATATAAAATTTGAATGTAAACGTTATTTCAAAACTATCAAAATTTAGGTAGAATAAACTCAGATCAGAAACCTACTCAAAAATGGGTAAACTAAATTGGGAGTTTCAAGTTGACAAACAGAACACATTCACCGGAATTCGATCTATGTTGTTCATTTGTCAACTTGTCACTCCCAACTTTATTTAGCCATGTTTGGGTAGTTTCTTTTTTGGTCGACCTTAGATGATTTTACCCTAATTTGGGTAGTTTTAAAATAGCGTGTATAGTTGTTGGTGAAATTCCGTATACATCGTTTGTCAGTTTTTATGTTTATATTATTTTATACATATTATTATAAATTGTAAATATTTTAGACAGGGTATTATAAATTGTTATGCTCTCACTCACTGTCTAAGGAATTGAAATTTGTTTTAAACTAACAATCAAAGGACAAATTATGCCAAAATGCGCCTTTCAATAGAATTAAGTCTTGTAATAACGCATATTGCGAAACATTTGGTGTAACAATGAATAAAGGTACTCTTTGAAAAACGCTCTTTTCGAGGTTAGCAAGGCGATAATAAATAAGATATTACAAGCGTAACTATTAAAATCGACGTATCTGCTTTTGTAAACAATCTCTTCAATCGACTATTTGTCTTAACTGCTAACTCACCCAGGCAAACAAACACCATCATCAGGTAGGGGAATCTTTCCCTACTAGCTGGTGTTGTTAGTTTCTGTGAGTGAGCTAGCAGTTACCACAAATCGTCGATTTAAGTGATTGTTTACCAAATCAGATACGTCGATTTGAACAGTTATGCTTAGATGTTAAGCATTTATTGTAACTGAAATGGGCTACGATTAATTGACGGCAAATAAATAAATAAATTAAAACATTCTAATATCTCAGCATTCTACCAGCTTTCGTTGAAACATTAACTGTTTTGTGCATTGCATTGATCACTCATCGCACGCTCAATCCAAAGAAGAACAAACGTAATTTATTATCAGCTTGTCACAGTATATGAACACAATGACAAAAAAGTTACAGCTCCTAATAGGTGAATGGATGATTGGCGCTCTTTCATTCTCGCTTTTTTCATTCCGAACTCTTCTCTCTATTCACAAAAATTATAATAATACGAAATTATGGAAAAGACCAATGAAACGGGTGCGGGAGGGTGGCCGCCGATGGAGAACCGACAGTAAAACGAACACGCAAGAAAAACAAATGAGCCAAAGCGAGAAAGAAATAACTATCACCGTTAGCTAGAGCAAGTGAGGAAGCCCCAACTCGCTCAGCAGCTACGGTACTAACCGATCGACTGTGAGATTCACAAACACGTGTTCAGATATGGGCAAGGAAGCAGCGGTGGTGTGCGTATGTTTTCTCGTTTTTCGAGTATTGTGTGGAGTAAAATGTCAGCCATTTCGCATTGAAAGTGACTACGCTGCAAAATGTTCAATTCCACCGTGGCTCACAAAGTGTTGGCAAAATTTGGAGAGCATAGTTTACGGTTAGGTAAGGATTTGAACAAAATATGTTTAACCATTCGAGTTTTCCAATAAGATATTTTGCTCTATTATTGTGTGGAATCAATTAACATCGGTACGGCGTAGACGTTTTCATTTCTTATGCACCGTCTATCGGAGAAACGGTGAACTTGTTCGTTCAGTAGCTCCCGGACTGGATGGATGGCCTACACTGGGGCAGTGTTGCCGCGAAGAAAATTGACTGTTTGGATATTGTTTTGTTGAAAAGCATTGGAATCGTAGGGCAGAGTAATTTTCCAATTTGATTAATTAGATATATTGTTGTTTCATTGCAAGTCATTGAATGATCTTCTTTAGTGTATAGAATAGGGACTCTACTACGGAGAGTTAAAGTTAAGTTTTAAGCAGTGAGATCATTATTTCATGAAATATTTTATAGTTCCTGTTGCCAATTGTTGACCATTGAAAGTAAATTGTTTTCTTGGCATCCTTGTCAATTGTGGGTTCTTGTTGGTTTTTCTCTGCTCTCCGGTTTCGCAGCATGCTGGGCTGGTGCAAGATGGTATATGTTAACATATACATTCTTGGCGAGAGCGAGTCGCTGCTGCGAGAGCCGAGTGCGATTTGATGTTCGGAAAAAGAAAATGGCCGCCGTCGCGTGTGTGTACATCAGCACTTTGGTAGCGCTCTTGGCATAGACGTTTTTGTTTTTCCACGTAATTTTTCACCTTCTAAGCGCGGTTCATCGACACGGACGAGCTACGAGATTTGTGTTTCTGCTGTGATTTTTCGCGTGTTCCGGAACTCCAGGAGCGGTATCCGCCGGACAAGAAGGAGAATACCTTCGACATACCCTGGAAAACGGCAAGAAGTAGTGTGCTCGGTCGCATCCGGAATAATCGGTGTGTTGTGAGTTTCACATATTTTTTTTTCTTCGATTCCTTGCTCGCTCGGTTCCTCTTCCTTTTTGATGGGTTTGAAGCGCAGAAGAGTGTGCTGCCTATTTTGCCAGACAGGGTGAAGTCCCATCAGAGAAGAATTTCATATTTTCAGTGCTTGAGTTTGATTTTTTTTAATCCAAGAGAAACGAACGTGAGTTTTCGGGTTTTGTGCGGTTTAGTACTCGTGAAGGGAATGGTGGCGAGGTCGGGAAGAAGAACGCAACAACAACAATAGCAGCAACATCAGTAGCAGCAAGCAGAAGAAGAAAAGAGGCAAATTTCTGTGTCTATTTCGCGATCGGAGGATGAAGTGAGTGATGGGTTTGGAAAACGGGAAAATTTGAGGGTGATTGCAACCAAAATAAGGTGCATCTAGTGATTCCAAAATAATTCGGCCAGGATCCGGAATTGAGTGTAATAGTTGGCCAAATGCTAATGCTCCAAAATTCGACCTGAAATGTGATAGTGAGTGGCGTGAGAAGTGTGATTTTTTTTGGTATTCAGAAATGTGACTGGCAGAATGCAATGGCAGAGACGACGTGGATTTTTCTTCCAACAACAAGACCTACTGTGGGCAGAATTCTGGATTTGATCCGGTTCAAACCGATTCGATAATATCACTTCTAGTGAATTGGAATTAATCTATTGCTTATGAAGGCACCAGCTGGTGAGTGTGCTGCGGAACGCAATCCCGAACATGTGACTGGCTATTAGTGCTTCCTGTGGCATATGTGTCATCTTTTTCCCATGTGATTGTAAGCGATTGGCTTTAAGATTAAATTCGGTGTAGTTCTTCGTTTTGCATCATGAATGTTGATCGCATGTTGTGTAATTTTCGGGTAGTTATCCACCATATGGACCTCCACCATGTTCCTACCACATTGTGGCACGCATTGTAAAAGATATAACACATGTGGTTTTAAAGGCTTGTCTGTATGAGCTCTCGAAAATGGACTGACTTTGTTTCAATAAGTAATCTATAAAATTCAATATTTATGAATCGGGACTATATTATAACTAATTCCAAACTTCATATAAATTCTTCTCATTAGAATGGACTTTGAATATGTATTAACATGTTACGTAAGAAAATCAATCCAATCTTTCGACTACTCTTCCAATGCAATATTCAATGTTATAGTTTTATAATCAGATTTTTTTTTTTGCAAAACACATTCTTTATTACAGAAGTTGAATTTCAAATAGCAAACAGATAATTCTAATGCAATTACTCCTAATTTATAACGAATTGAAATTGCATAACCAAATAAAAAGTATTCTGGTTGAATATGTACACGAGTAACTAAGGGATTAGCAGGAAAATACGATTAGTTTGTTAATTATGTAGCGATACAAGAAAAAAGTCGAAAAAAAAAAAATTATTTCAAGGAGTTGTAGGTCAATTCAATTTAATTCTTTAATTTTTGTTTTTATAAGAAGTGAGGATATATATTTTCTTATGAGCTGATATGATAACTTTTCGGATGTTGTTTAGCAGTTATAAAAGAAAGTTAAAAATATTTATTTATTAGTAGGTCCTTGAGTGTTATAATTTGGCCCTTCGATGCTTTGAAACATGATGTATCCTCATACAAAAAATGTTTTTCGGGTTTGTCCTCATTTAGGATGACTACAAAAATGTCAATATATACCACCATATTTTTATAGTTTTTTTTTAAACCAGTTGCACTAAACTTGGTTACAATTTTAGATCACACGGTTAAAATTATGGACGATGCTTAAAACAGATTTGAGTCTATTTTAAGTATAGCTGTACTATCTTATTAAAATTTTGAAGTTTTTGACTATCTTATTAAAATGTTTTTTTTAGGAGAATATTAATTATAATACAGAGAACCTAGCTATCGTAAATCATCAATTTTGAGGAAAGGCCTTCGGGCATTTTCATCCATTCTTGTATTTGAACTGTTAATTTGCAAACATCCATCTTTTTAAAGCTTATGGGCAGTGACGTCGCATTTTTTACAGTTCTTCGATTTTAATAACGCGAGCAAATTAATATGAATACATCAGTGAAACTAGAATATCCTGTGCGCATTAGAACCGATCTGAATATAAATATGACATCAAGATGGGTATTGCCAAGCCGGAGACGGGGGTTTCGATTCCCGGTTCGGCCTAGATTTTTTTGGGTTGCTTGGAAAACATACACTTATCCAGTCAGTAATTTTTACCAAGTTTTTGAATTGCGAAACTGTTCGGTAAAATTTAAAAAATTGTGAAAAATTCAAAGTTGACAAAATGTGTTACGAAAATTTACAGACTTTAGTTTTGTTAACCCCGTTTAGTAAGGAAAAATAAAATTCGTCCATTTTATCGAATCTTTACGAATTACGGTAATGTGAATTTTGACTCCTGTAAAAAATCTAAGTGTGCGATATACATAGTTCGTACAGTTGCTGGCATAGAAAGCTCCCAATTAATAACAGTGGAAGTGGTTCAAGAACACTAAGTAGGCGAAAGCTCGTGTAAGAGCATCAATACAGAAATAAAAAGAAGAGTGCTATAATAACTGTCAAAAACCCACGCTTTAAGTTATCTTGAAATCCCGCTTGGAGAACGTTGATATTGTTTATAACAATAGTAATGATGGTCCCCAAAATTCTCAAATTCATCATCTGAAAATACTGAACTTCCTATCTTCAGTTGTAACCAGCAGAATGTTACATTCAATGCTAAATTTTTTTTGGTTATAGCTTGCCAGACCTCACTAACCGAAACATTTTCAAAATTCCGGAAAACCTTCAAGCAATCCCTTTCTGTGCGCCGGATTGGTCTGACTGGGTAGAGAGAATCATGCCAAAATTTATTACGTTTTATTTACTACCCTTGCGCCATCGCCCATCTCCACTCCCACACTTTCTGGCACGACGACGACGGATGGCCACATTGGCTCGTACGCTGACTCGGAAAGTGTTGGTTCGGATCGTCGGGCTTTGGCTCGCTTCCATCAGTGCACGCAGCAGCAGCACCAGCACTTTAGCACCAAAACTCAGCAGGGAAGCGAAAGTATGTCTGGGTGTGTCCTACATAAAACATCTTGAATTACGAAAATTATTGCCATTCCAGCGTAATATTCTTGCTACGATTATGGAGCTGGCATCTCCATTTTCCTCCTAACGTTGATGTTAGTGTTATTATTATTTTGGCCACTTGGAGTTTTTCTCATGTTGCTGAAGATGGCCTTCTACTGTCGCTGTTATGAACGAACATCATTACGTTGCTTCTGCAATTACGTAATTGTCTAAATAATAGTTCTGTTTCCTGCTTTTTTCGTGTGTATGTGTTTCAGATTCAATCTGCCGACATATTCTTTAGGTTTGGTCAGCAAGACAAGGTGCACGACAGGGTCGCTTCGGCTCCGGAATATCTGCAATTTAATCTCTCCACGAGGCCGAATGGAAAATTTGCTGACGGCAACCGGGTGGAAACATTTTTCTTTATGACTGGCATTGATTTCATATCCAATTGAATCCACTTATTTCGATAGGCTTTTTTGCCGTTCTCTATCTTCTTTCGTAAGAAACGGTTTCAATTTGCTCAATTGATGAAAATTGAATTTTCCTTTGGGTTTTTTTTTTCAGTGCTGTGTTTTAAAGCTTCTTGTGTACTGTATTATTTACGGCATTGTGTTTTCTCCGTACCATAACCATATTTTCGACATTTTTTTTTTAACTTAATATAACTCGCGGCCAGTAGGCTGTGGAAATTTTACGTCTTCAAAAGAGTTGTTTATTTTGTCAAGGCAAACAACTTTGTCCAATACATCAGGTCTCCAAAACGTCAGCGAAAGAAGTTAGATTGTGGCGCTATCTTTGCGGAAGAGTTTTGAACTATTTATTTATGGCAATAGATGGTTCTTATTATGGTGAGAAACTTTATCAAAGACACCAAGTCGCGGAAATGCTTCGTTTCAGAGTTATTAATTTTGCTCTGCTAGATTGCATTTCTGGCCCAGTGTGCCCTGATGGGAATATAAGTATCCCCCGATGAACACGGTGGTGTTTTCAGTCAATGCAGAAATATAACTTTGAAATGGTAATGAAATTACCATACATTCTATGGTTGACAGTTAACACAATTACAAATAAATTGATTTGGTCATATGATCATAGGATACCCTCAATTGATTTACCACATACTATTTGTGGGTTTACAGTACATTTTTGCTACAGAACAGCTTATACAGCCAAATATTACTGTACACAGTCAAAAACAAGCTAAATGTGCTTTTAACCTGCTAAATTAACCGATGGATTTAGTGTGATGGTGGAAAATTGATTTTCTATACTTAAGATAACTCGAACTCCCTTTTCTATGGTAAAAATAATAGTTTTTTTAAATGCTGTAGATTTTTAAAAGTCACGCATCGCTGTTTCTTGGCTATCCTTCAACATATTGAAGTGATTTCTTGTACTGATAATGGGATATCCACCATTTCAACTTGTCCCCTTGTACTCATTTCGATTTGCCCAGTACGGTGTTAAAATTTGGGACAATGCTTGAAATGTTGAGGATATTTTTTGTAACCCCATTTTTAACCGGGTTTCTCTATATCATCACTCCAACTAGCCTTCATGTGCTTCCCTAGTAAAAAATAGGCTAAAAACAGAAAATTTAGATTTTTTTTTAGAATATTGAAACATTGCCCGAAAAATGTGTGTTGTAAACTTCATATAACATTAAAATAAACAAAGTTGAGGAGCACGCTACGCTGTTTGTAACTACCTGTTTTAACAGCCATAGGATAGTTTAAGTTAATATTATGCTGTTAAAAATAATTATAACTCACTTTTACATTTTTCACCTCACACACACAATGTCAACTTCGTTTTCAGTGCTGTACTTGAGGAGTTACAGATTTATACAAAAGAGCATCTATGTAGTTAATATAACTAGAAAATGTATTGTTTTTTTTTTTATAATTAAAATGGTCTAAACATTTAATCAGTGGCGTCGCGTCCACATGTGCAACCTGTGCACGACACGGGTGTAAATAATTTAAAAAAATGCGTTTAGATTTTTATAGATTTTAATGGACACATTATAGCTGTACTTCTTTACTCCAGACCACAATTGACCATGAATACACTATTTATAGTGTGGTTCAATTAAATCTTCGACCTTGGTTTGCTTCAAAAAGGGTTAAATTCAGTTCGGATGGTCTGCCTAATTCCTAATGCATTGATTTCTAAGCGGGTGGCGGGTGACAAATTTGTGAATGGTCAAATGCCTGATGTAAGCCAAGCAGACCTTCTATCCTCTTGAAACATACCACAAATTTTCCAC